CCCGCAGAGCTCCTCCCGCCGAGAGGAGACAGGCGTCCGGGCGAGCGTGCGGCCTCACCTCCGCCGGGCGAGGAGGAAAGAAAGGCTCGGCCGGGAGTCCGAGGAGGAGCCGGCGGGGAGGGGAGAGGGCCGACCTCCTTCCCGGGGCAGGACTTAAGTCTTGGGGCGTTTGTAAACGTCGCTGTGCCCCGGAACGTGTACCACCGCCACAGCAAAACTTCCTTGTTGTAGTGGGAATCGGCCGCCGAGACCGTGCCCCCTCACCTTCCTGGGGCCGCCTCCGTCCCATTCAAAGTGGGGGTGGGGGGGGACAAAAATGTTTCAGCTGCTCGCGCGTCGGCCCCACCCATAATGACATCTGCTCCACGACAATAAGACCGCGGATTATGTGATCGCCGGAGAAGAGTAACATCGGCCTATTTTTGTGACTGCTCGGTGATCGGAGGTGGGCGTGAGGGGGATTTATTGTGCCCAGAAACGATCGAGGAAAACTCGGAACGCGTTCCTGGCTGAGGCTGGAGCCCCCCGCCGCCGGAGTATACCCCTGCATTTCGCACGTTCCGAGGGGGTGTTCCTTCACAGCTGATATATTTGCGTGTGGATATTGAAAATTCCGTCCGTTTTTCCGTGCGCTTTTAAAGGAAAGTAGGCAACGGAAGTTTTCTGATAGCTTCAGTAGCGCTTTTAAAATCGATATAATGTATAATTTACTTTTTTAATCTAAGGTGAATAAACGTAAAAGATTAATAAACAGGCTGCCAATGGCCTGTCAAACCTAAATTTTTTTTAACCCTTTTTTTAGGAATTTCTCACATCTAGTCGCGGAAATTTCTTTGTTCACTTTTTGGGTTGTGGACTGTTTTTCCATTTGTTTTAAGGTAATATGATCCTAATAATCTTTTCACTTTTTAACATGAGTAATTGGAAGCAACAATGTGTTACCAGATCCTACTTCATTTTCTGTTTTCTTCTGCCTCTCAAGTTGAGTAAAATGTTCAAATTTTTTCAACTGCTTTTTTCATAATTTGTCTTTAAAATATGTGTAAGCATTTCTTTTTCTGGAGGGTCAGGTCTTAAAACAATACTGAACTCTACTGTAAGTCTTAACAAGTTGAATAACTGTTTATCTGGCATTAGTTTTCCCCAAAAATACTGCTTTTGCGTTGTTCTTCAGTCTTAACCTCTCATGGAACCTTGAACAAATCTTAAGTTAACTACTGTTTATGAAATCTGCCTCCCCACAAAGAATTCTTAATTTTTTTCCTTTTTGTTGTTGTTTTATATAGATCTAAAACTACTCTTTATACCCTCTTTCTGTAAGTTATTTACATATAAAATCCTTTTCCAGTTGTGATCCATTTTCTGTTGTAAAAAAGTAAAATTCGTTGTGAAAAATAGTAAGTCAAAAGAATTCTTTTCAGTTCAACCATCTTCAAAATATGTTATTTTCTGACCACAAGATAATTTCCCTTAGTTGCAGCACAGGAAACCAAACATCCAGTCAGAGGTGGCCTGACATCAATATAAGGACTAAAAGACCAGAATTAAAATGTGCTATATAAAATGGATTTTTTTCTGAGCAACTTATTAAAATTTAAATTGATTCTTGTATTTTTTTTCTCTCTCTACCTCTGTTCCCCAAAATGTTGTGTATTTTCCAAAATATGAGCCCGATTTACATGGAGTCTTCTTTCTGATTCCTGTTAATTCTTACGGCTTTTAATTGCATTTACTTCAAATCCAAATGACATGAATTCGAAGGCATATATTGCTTTCATTAATGCTATGTCACCATTGGCATAGCCCAGAATATATATGTTAAACATGAATTATTTCCTGTGTCTTCTTACTTATAGAGACATATTAAAGATACGATTTTATGATTAGAGGCATTCCCATTTATCACCTGGATGCCATCATCCTCCCCCCCCCCCTAAAAAAAAAGAACTTACAGAGATTGGTTGGGGTCAATATAGTTTTAATTCCCAAATCTGATCTTTGTCAATGAGACCTGAGGTTTAGAAAAATCGGTGTACTGCTTTCTAAATCAGAGATTTATCCAATTCTCACTCTGGTTTTAAAAGTAACAAGGATTCTCTTACCTTGGATTCATAGTGTGTTAGGGCTGGAAAGTTTTCAGTATTATATAGGCCAAGGATATTTCATACTTGGCTACAAAGATTTACGTTGTGCTCCTGAATAAATATCCCAATTTTAATCAGCAACTTGGCGCTGATTATGGAGATACTAAATATAAGAAGACTCCCGCCTTCAAACACGTTAGTACTCACGTGTCAAGCACATATTTAGTACCTTTTATGCCAGGTATTACTCAAGAAGCTGGGGAACATGGATGAACCAAAGTCCCCTCCCCTGGAGCATTTAATCTAAGGGGGAAGAGTATAGTGGTGTGATTTATATAATCACTTCTAGAGGCTAACTTTGGTATCTTTTGAAGTCCAAAGGAAGTTCATGAGTAATTACCAAGTTAATGAATAGCGCAGACAATTGAAAATCCAAGTCCAGAGGAAGTAAAAATCACTTTAGACCAGCAGTGTGCTGTTATCCGTGTTTTACTCTTGAAATTCTGTCTTCTTCATCCTCCCAAAATGGAAGTGTAGCTTAAGAGGGTCAAAAGTGGTGACTTAGGCTTAATGTTGACAAATATTGGGCGACTGCTGGAACCAGTGACCATATGCTAAGTAGACAAGGATGGCAGATGCCGCCTCTGCAGCCGGCCTGGCCACTGTCCCAAGAGCGCCGACCTGTAATAGTCGCTCCAGCAGGTGGAAGGCAGAGGAAGGCTTGGGTCATAAAAAAAAGTCTCATCTGTTACTCTGCAAGGCCTACTCGAAATTCCAAAAGCGTAGCCGAAGCTAATGTCATTTGGGAAAAAATGTCCAAAATCCCCACAAATGGTAAATGCGATAGAAACTGTCATCTCAGGGCCTTCTGAAAAGGGAACTAAAGAAAAACTAGATATAAGTGGGTGATATGCCAGTGCCATCACAAAGGATAGACCAATCTTCAATATTTAAAAAAATGTTACGGCGTATACCCCGTAACCCAACAACAACAATTCTAGGATTTCATCCCCCAAAATGCTTTCCCTTTTGTACAGGATACATGAGCAGGAGTTTTGGCAAAGAAAAACAATGGCAAAAACATTTTCCCACACCTCACCTTTCCAAACTCTGAGGTATTTATACCGTGGAATATTCAGCAACCTTGTGAAAATATGATGATTTTTGGTCATTAGGCCAAATAAAATCTTGAGCAAGAAAGGCAATTTGCTGGGTTAAACATGGTATGATCCTATTTAAAAAAAAAAAAAAAAAAAAAGTTGTTTAAATAAATGTTAGTGAAGTTTAAGTAAATGTCAGAAAACGCGGGTGTGATCAGCTCTGAGGGGTACAGTTCTTTCACCCTGCATGACCTGTTTTTGGAAGACCTGGATGTTTCCACACTGAGGATTTATTTATAGAATCAGAGAAAAATAATCATTAAAAATGTAAGTGAATGCCTCTCCCCCTGAGAGGTCCTGCTCCATGTGTTGGCTTCTGACTGGCCCAGAACCCCTGTTTCCAGCCCCTCCCTTATTAAATGATGGGCAGTGAAGATCTGTGTCCCCAAAGGTCCTGTTGCTGTTGTCAGGGGGCTTCACCCTTACTCAGCAGATCTAGAGGCAATGCAAATGGGTTAATGGTTACTTGTGAAACTTCGAGATTTTCATGTCTGGAAATTCCTGACCTTGCAGTTTTTTCTTTTGGCTTTGCTTTCAAGTAGATAGAGATTACTTTTGAGAACCTGAAAGATCGCCCTCCATGGTCATAGTGGGTGTGAGATAATACCACAGAGCTAGAGCAGGCTATGTGCTGGAGAGCTCCTTGGGGTGCAGGCTATGTGCTGGAGAGCTCCTTGGGGTGCAGTCCACTCGCTCTAGGATGGTATTCCCCCCCCCCAACCTCTAAACCATGCTCTGCCCAGCCCAGCCCCCGCCTCGGAGCCCCAGGACTCATACAGAGGCTGGTGAATGGACATGCACCTTTTGTTCCTTTGTGGCCCCTAATGGAACTTCCCCTCTGATGGAACTTCAAAGCTACAACCCCTTCTGCCTCCTGCCACCAGGCCCAGCCAAAATGGCCCCCGGGAACTATAGCTGCTCATTTTCAAGCCCCCAAGTCAGCCTGATACTTGCGTTCATTTCTTTTCCTGGTCCCCATGTTTATGTCTTGACTTCCCTTCCCTTTCAGCTGTCTGTGGCCCAAAGGCCCTGGTGTTCTGTCTCTGCCTGTCAGATAGGCGTTTCCCTTCTTCCCTCCATCTAAAAACTGTCAGTCCAGCTGCCTGAGCTGCTCTCCCCCTCAAGAGGGGTGTTTGGGTCGCCAGCCTGCTGGAGCCCCAGCGGCCTGCAGTGAACAGGCTGCCGCGCCCTACGCTGGCCTGCCTGCCCTGCCCTGCCCTGCCCTGCAGGTTCTCCGGGTGTCTGTGCCCACTGTGTCCTGTTCTCGCCTCTGACACACATCAGAAAAATGATTCCCGACCTTGTGACACGCAGGATGTGCCCAATTAGAGTTGTGAAGTCACTTTGATTTCAGTTCCCTTTAATGTTTTTGTAGTGGCGTGGGGTGGGTGGGTTGGAGGTGGCTGTTGCAGGGTATAAAATCAATTAAACTCTTCGAAATAACAACATGCAGTGCTTACCTGGCTTCTAACCCAGTGGCTGCTAAATCCTTTT